TTGGATATTATCGCAACCCTACATATAGGGTAAATATCCTTACTGCCCTAGTCTAAATCATTTAAAGTTACGAGACGAAGATTGTTTGCGGCAAGTTTGATAACTAAATCACCGTGTCGCTGCCAATTTCGAAACTGCCGTTTCATATAATTTACTTACTGACGAACGCCTGAGCGTTTGAGTGAATGAGTTGTTTACCCTGCAAGTATAATCTGTTTACAGTGGAAGATCGTTGCCATGTTTCGTAGCAACATAGCATGAAGGAATTTCGTGCTAATCATCATGTTTACTGTTTATTATAACAGTAGTAAACATAGTTTTTCCGACTGTTTCTCACATAACAGTAACAGAGGACGAAATTTCTGTACCCCAGAACCACTCAAATGTAAGTCACATTACGCTAACTTTTCAGGAGAGTGTAAAAATTGAAAATAATTTACTCATTGCTTATGAGGATTTACGCTCTTATAACTTTAATAATTATAAAAACAAAACTGTTAACAGTCCATGGGTAGGGATAAGGAAAAATATATATTTCTTATTTTTAAGAGTATTTATTTTTATTAATGACATATAGGGACAAGCGCGACTAGATTTTTGCATTTATTTTCTCTAAATATAAAACTCATGCATTCTTTTTATATACAATTAATCGAAATTACAGTAAGCAGCTAGAAGTCAAAATTTCGCAACCATACGTGATGTGACGGGGCAATCGGAAGAAAGGCTTCACCACACTTCTAATTCGTGCGCATGCAAGTGTGGGGAGCCCGTACGCCAGTATTTTCACCCGGGGCCCGGCTCGGATCTTAGCGGCTCTGGGGATAGACAGTCGAAAATCGAGAAAGTTTCGATCTATCCTGGACATATCTGGTACGCTTTTTCAATCTGGGACTGAGAGTCAAAAATCTGAAAAGTCCCTCTACTGTTGGACAAATATGGAGTACTTTTTCAATCTTGTACAGGGAGTTGAAAATCTGGACAGTCTTAATAATCCCAGACAAATCTGCATTATTTTTTTAGTTAGTGACAGACGGTCGTAAATCGGGACATTTCCGGCCAATATGGGACAAATCACTGATATCTTTTCAGTCTGGGACAAACAGTCGAAAATTGGAATAGTTTCTGTTACTCTGGGACAACTCTAGCATACTTTTTCATTTTGGGGCAGACAGTCGAAAGTCGAGAATCTGGGATACTTTTTCAGCCTAGGACAGAGAGTCGGAAATCGGTACAAATCTGAGGCAGACAGTAGAAAATCGGGTCTAGCGGCTTATCAGAGACCTCTGATAACTTTATTAAAAAATTCTCTACACCAACTCTCTGTTATAAATGTTACGGGATTCAGATTCCTCCCATCTGTTCTCGTTTAGCGAAATTTCAAAACAACGGAAAAGTCCATCTGTTTGACAACATAAACAGTGATAATTATTTCATCTGTTAGATAATCCCACTCCTTCAAACTGTTATCTTCTCTCGGCTTCTCAGCACCAAAATAAAACGCAGATAAGGGCTATATTAGTCACAGAATTCTCCGCCGGTTTCGACGCCAGTTGAAAAGCATTGATAACGAGCCTGACTTCCGCGAAAACCCAGCATTTTCCATACGGTTAGCAGTTTTGTTTGGCAGAAGGACTGAATCACAAAACAAACGGTGCAGTTTCCGTTGTTCGGTTTGTTTTAGATCGACATCTAGGAAGTGTTTGTGAGCTGGGAAGGTTAGCGACGCTCAAAACAATAGGAGAAAAATGCCTGTATTGTGAATGTTTGCCGAAAAGAAAAGAAAAAAAAATGGAGTACATATCAGGAAGAATTTTAAATGCAGCACAAAAATGTAAATAATGTTAATTTATTTATAGTGGCTACAGTCCGATCAATGTTTTGGTATTCGCTATGGTGATCAGATGGCTGGTTAATCCGGGATAGTCCCGAATTTCAACAGTTTTTCCCGATTTGTCCCGAGTTAGAATTAAATATTTCGGATTGTGCCGGATTTGATTTATAAGCAAATAAATCATATTAAAAAATATGAATTAGATTTGATTTTAAAAAAGTTAGCTAAACTAGTCAAATTTAAATAAAAGTAAGGAAAAATGTGATTTTTTTCTAACTTTTGTTGCAGGGATAAATTGTACAGGCGTCCCGGATTAGTCAGGAAAATCCCGATTTTTGGCTTTGCCTTTCCAAGAAAAATTGCCCCGGAATGAAAAAGTTTGTCGTATTTGAGTAAAATATCTCAGGATGAAGTAAAAAGTGCATAATAATAATTTTTAAAAAAATTTTAATTTTTTTAAAATTGGCTTCTGTAGAATTTTTACTCTCAACTTTTATTGTACACAGATCAGGGTCTCCTTAATATGGCCAATGCAGACAAATCAGCTTGAAGGAAAAATTTTAAAAATATTGTGTATTCTTCCTTTGTTTTAGTGTTCTCACTGTGTGATCAGACGTTCTGGAATTTGACTCTTTGTCCCAGATTGAAAAAAGATGTCTCGAATCATTCCTTTTTATGCATTTACGTAAGCAGGTCATATTAAAACATTTTTTAAAAAAATGCAACAGGATTGATTTTAGAAAAAAAAAAAATCATCCAAAGAGTTCACCTTCCCAATTTTTAGAACACATAGAACTAGTCACTTTAATGAATAATTGTATTTCCATAAGTATAATAAAAGTAACTCTGTTTAAATTCCGTGTGTAAATTCGAGCTATCATTAATGTTAGTGGTAAAGTGGCAAAATGTCCAGATAAGACGGGACTGTCCCTCTTTTCAATTACTGTCCTGTTTTAATCCTCCCCCATCCACGCCCACAATATCTAGAGCGTCTCTCCGTTGGAGTTCAGAAAGTCTGGTCACTTTTAGTAAATTATCATTTTTTAGTCACAAAAAAGCCATCACCCCACCCTGCCCTGGCACCCAGATCTACGTTGAATGACCGGCCGTCACGACTTCATCGATCACTGTGGCCCCAGCAATTTAGCCCCCATTACGAGGGGATCATGTGACGACCCCCCGTTTTACCGGGGTACAACCCGTCATCGAAGATGGGCTCTAAGAGCCACACCACCATTACTGTACCCACCAGGGAGGCGAGAACCCGCTTATTTATACGGCGGCTTCTCATTCGTGAACTCGAGGTGTCTCCCTGTGGGATAAATTTTTTTTATGCAATCCAATTGCAATCTAACATAATATCTGATTTATATAAAATAATTATATTAATTAATATTATATAATAATAATATTAATCATTCAATATTAATATTATTATTATTAACGATTATTACAAAAATCGTCCAGTGGGTGTACGGTGAAAATAGTTCAACAAACAGGAAAATGAAGAAAGATGCTTTATTCAACGAATATTCTCCAAAACACGAAGTGCAGGTAACAAGAAACACGGCTCTTGTACAAATTAGCAGTACAAGCAGACAGCAAATCACTAACAATAACAGCAATAGCACGAACAATAGCGCTCAGAGTCGAACAGCTGACCAAGTCTCCAAAGAGATTCCTCAAATTCCGCAGTTTAAACCTTTCCTGACAGGATGTGACGTCACATAGAATCATCTATTAAATTCTGTATATCTCGCCCTTAATAGAGATATCGAGTAAATTCTAGTATTTTTTAGGTCTTTCACTTTGTCGCCAAGGTGCGCGGTCGTTGGCCTCCATTCCCTAATTGGTAGTAAGAACCTGTGTAAATGTTTCTTTCTAACCATAAGACTAACATTATGGGAAAGTGACACTACATGTTCGTAACAATATTGTGGAGTTTGGTTAAATAGAATTGGCAATAAAAATTCGAATTAAGTAAAATTGGGTCTAGAAACAAGTACAAAAAGAGAAGACGATATTTTTAAAACCAAAAATGACAATAAAGTTGTTTTTTTATTATTATTTAACAGTTTTAATAAATAATACGCAATTAAGAAATACAGAGTAAATACGTAGTTTTAATAAAGTGGAAATAATTATAATTAAAAATATTGATAATAATTTCGATAAATAAGCAATTACAATAAAAAAAATAGTAGGGCAAATATGACAGTTATTGACACATCAGATAGTTACTGACTCCCTAATCTTTAATGTAAAAAAATAATCTTTCATGTCAAAGTTCAGTTTCACCTAACCTAATCTTAGGTAGACGGTTAAAAGTAAACTAAACAATGAAGGAATGCCAATAATTGTGGTGTCAGTTACTCATACATAGGGTGCAAATAACCATTTATGCGCTATTTATCAGTTATATATTGCAAAATACCTTCCAGAGATATTTTTTTATGCAACCATTTATTCAGCTTAAAGTAGAGTAATTCATCAAAAATTATCATAAATTACAACTTGAATGAACTATTTTTACTATCTTTTTCATGAATGAATTGTATAAATATTGCCTTAAGGGGGTCAATAATTGTTTTGTTTACCCTATAAAAGACTTTCAATACATCAATTGCTTAGTAAAATAAATAAATAAAAATTTTTAAAAAGTACTTATCATATTGAACATATTCAAAGACTTTTAAAAACAAGCGAGACAATTTTTATCGCCTTTTCACTCAATACATTTCCACGCAAAATAACACAGACACGGTGGACACCAATAACTAATAAGAAGAATTCAGAAATAAAAGCAATTTCTTACAATTTTTAGTTTGGACTTCGAAATAATCAAAATAAATTCAAATTATAGAAGATATTTAATTATTAGGGGAAGGTTTGCCTTATTTGAACATTGATAAAGAAGTAAAAAAAAGAAGCAATACATTTTTTTGTAGTTTATTTATCTCTAAAAAATATGTTTAGGGTCTCATCGACTTAAGACAGAGTTCCATTCCAAGTAACAGGTCGTAAATCGAAATGATCTTAAGTCGGATCTATGTTTTCCAAAACTGTTTTCATTCAAACGGGATACAAAAATTGCTAATAAAACACAAAAATTCAATCCAAGTACACATTGTGATTGTAGATACTGGGAAAATTACCAGACAGGCAATCGTCGATAGCTCATTTGGCATAGCGGTGGCCTGCAGATAGAAAGAGACAGACATCCATAGGTCGCTGGTTCGACTCCGTCTCGACGGATCATCATTTATGCAAACAAAACTTCAAACTTTTAATTTTCAAAGGAAACATAGGGAGTGTATTTTTATCGTACACGCCGATCACTTTGATTGTGTGCTGACCCCGATGTTTGAACACTTCAGAGGTTGTTGAAGGAAACTCTGCAGCCGTCGATAGCTCAGTTGGCAGAGCGGTGGACTGTAGGTGGAAAAAGACAGACATACATAGGTCCTTGGTTCGACTCCTACCTACCTTAACCCACTACGGCCGCCCTACACGTTAGTGTGTAAAACACCACGAGGACCGCCGGGGAAAGCGAGCCAACCACAGCGTCCTGAGAGACAACGGAGCCCAGCCCCCCCCCCCCCCCCCGCAGCGGATTTTTTTTCGAATCCAAAAGAAGATACAAAACGACAGAATGGGAGAAAAATAAACAAAACAATACATAGCTACCATATCACATTTAAAAATATAATAAACATTTATATACAAAACAAAAGGATAATTTAAATTACTGGTTTTAATTTTTGTGTTTTTAGCAAGTGCTAACATTCTTTTGTCAAGTTCTTTTTTGCCAAATTTTATTAATTAATACGTATTATTTGAATTATATTCATTAAGCATTATTTCCTTGAAGTGAAGTTTACACAAATGCAAAAATTATTTCCTGCCTTATCAACTAGGATAATAATAAATTTCCCCTTTAAAAATTCAATTTCTTTTTTAAGATACTCGTTGAAGAAAATACCTCTATTACAAATTTTGCTTTTATTATTATTAATTCTATTTTTTGTTTCCATTAGGATTCTCTGCTTCCTTTCACCAAATCCTTTAATGGACCAATGATATTTCCAGGCAATATTTGCAATAAAAACCAGTAATTTAAATTCCTTACCTTTTCCCCACTATAAAATTTCATACAAATCCCTTAAAATTTAGATTTGCTACTTGTAGCACTGGTAGTTATAATTATTATTTTGGCAAATTCTTCTTTAAATTTCTAAAAATTATTCTTAAAAAAATTAAAGAGGAAGAGAGCTTCATTATTGACAATAACACTAAAATTTTGGACCTTTACCAAAGAAAAGAAAATTTTTAGCATTCATACATTTGATTTTGAAAATCTTTTTACTAGCCTCCCACATAATAAATTAATTGAAGTGTGCTCTAATTTATTTGATTTATACCTTAATACTGATTTAATTGATAAAAATAAATGGTTAGAGATTTGCAGGCTAAATATTTGTGAAAATCATCTCTTTAATGGAATTAACTACTATAAGCAGGTTCTTAGTATTCCTATGGGTTGTTGTTTTTCAAGTGCACTAGCCAATTTATTTCTTCACTCATTTGAGAGAGATTTAATTAATAATCAAATTGTTTACAGTGTTCGTTTCATTCATGACCTTTTGTTCTTTAATCATAATAATGTTAACTCCAGCTGCTATCCAAAAGAACTCAAATTAAATAAATCTAATAATGAATTGAACAAATGTAATTTTTTGGATCTAGAAATTGAAATTTGAATTCAGATATTTCAGTTGGAATATTTGACAAGAGGAAAGAATTTAATTTCAAGGCTATTTCACTTTGCAACTTTCAGACAAGTCTTCATTTTAAAATCATAAAGAACTCTATTTATTCTCAAATTAATAGGATTAAATACATTTGTAATAACCACTCTACTTTAGTTAAAGCCTTAGGTAATTTAAACAATAACTTAAAGGATAACGGATTCCCTTATTGTTTCCTTAAACTTGATCTCTTTATTAAAAATAGTTTTTGTTCTCCTGAGAAATAGTTCGAATTTTTCTGCATAGATGGAGTTACTGGCTAGCTTTTAGATCGTCGATAGTTTTTATCAATAGCGTTCTTTTTCTGCTTGGCTTGCTTTTGAAAGAAGGTAAATTTTTTTATCTCTTTCTTCTGATTTTGGATATGGTAATTTTTTTGGATTTATGTTCTTTATTTGGTGGCCGGACAAGATTCAGACCACAGGAAGGAATAAATTTTGACTTTTTGTCATTCCTTTCCACAGAAAATCTTGTTCTTTTTTGAACTAAAAAAATGGCGTGTGGTTTCTGATGAGTGAGCCATTTTAGTTCATTTTCCATTTTGAATAATTTCTAATTAAAATGTTCTAAGTATTAGAGAATTTTTGGTTTTTTATTTTATAGTTTTTGTTGTATTTTTTAAAAAAATTCTGTTGAAGCAATTACTTTTTGCTGCTGCGCTTGCGCGCAAAAACGTTTATTGTTTTCATTATTTTTCATTCTTATTGTTGTTTCTTTTTGTTTTCTTTTAATTTATTTTCCTTTTAATTTAAATTTCTACAATAATAATAAAACATCCGAGATGGTAAACGATGCAAAGTCGGCGAACAGATTGGTAGCAATTTCTGCACTTTCTGTAACACGTTTGAAAACACAAAAAACTCGGAACCAAAAGCCCCGGGGGGGGGCAAAATCAGAATGAAGATGATCAAGCACAATAGTAATCCAAATCTCCCAACAAAAATTCCACATCTGGGATGAATTTTAAAACAGGTACAAAATGGGTCCCAAACAAAAAAGGATGGTAAAAGCAACAAACGATAAGTAAAGTAATCAATCAATCAGGCAGATAAATAAAGCAATCAAATTAAACAAACAGGGAAATAATTAATAATAACAAACAATGAAGCAGATATATAGTATGTACATAAAAGAAAATACATCTTACAAGTATAAGTGCAAAAATAAATTTTTCATAAATGAAAAACATACAATTATTCCAGTAAAGAAGAAAACAACTGCAAGGAGTAATCAATCGAAAATGTAAACATAGTACAGACATAAAAATCATCATTAATTAATACAACAGAACAACAAAAAAGGAAATCAACCAGAGGCACTAGGGCTGAAGAAAACTTAATTTCGTCACAAATTTTATTTGAAATAACACAAATTTGTTGAAAATGAAACAGGGAAAGTTTATTCTTTAAAATATTTGAAAACCAGGAAGGTTTATGTACATCAGATGGACGAGTAAAATGATAATTATTTGTGTGAGGGCAGTCGAACACGAAGTGGTCGGCATCCCCCAGACCCCGCAGATGCAATTATGGCTGTTAAAAATTTGAAATCTAAAAAGATAAGCCGGAAAAGGACCATGCCCGGAAATAATAAAGAGAAAATATCGATTATGAGTCAGGAGAGTTGTATCCACAAATGGGACAAACTCCCTGACGCTGAAACCACTTTTAGAGTCCTTCCAATGTCGCTGCCAATTCTCCAAAATATAAGATTTAATAAATTGTTTAAGAAAACTATATGGTGCCGGAAGAGGTAAAGGATTACCATTAATAGTTGCGTCTTTGGCCAATTGGTCGGCCAGCTCGTTACCTGGGATACCAGCGTGAGCCTTCACCCAAGACAAACCGACCGAACCAATTGCCCTGAACATATTATTTTTAATATCATTTATATATTTAGATTTAGAACTTGATTTTTTTAAAACTTGAAATGAAGAAAAACTGTCGGTAAAAATATTAATTTTATAACCGTTTTCCAGAGCCCAGCTAGCAGCAAAATTAATCGCCGGCAGCTCAGCCTGAAAAACGGAATTATAATTTGCTAATTTAAATTTAAAAGATTCAAAAAGAACATTATTTTTAAAAATACAAACTGATGCCTCGATATTACCATCAATTCCGGAGCCATCGGTGTATACATCAAAATCTACATTATTTAAACTCTCAGGAAAAACCAAAACTTTAAATTTTAAATCTGCACAATTATTTTTAATATAAAAGTCTAAATTATTAACATCAATAAAATTATAATCATTAATTCTAGAATACCAAATTTGAAATTTGATAAATAAACCACTGGCAACGACATGGAGAGGAGGAGTACCCAAAAATACATTTAAAGCATTGGTCGGACATGTCCTATAGGCTTTAGAAATTTTAATAAGTGCAATGCGTTGAACAGAAAAAAGAGAATTATTATGTTTCTTAGTAAAAGAATCACCCCAGACAGAGGCTCCAAACAAAAGGGAAGGTTGGATAACTGAAAGGTACCAGTGTTTCAAAAGTGAAACACTGGCACCCCAATTCGGACAAGAGACAGAACTAAAATTTTGAATTAAATTATGAATTTTTTATGCAAAGAAAAAATATGATCGAACCAATTAAATTGGTTATCTATGTAAATACCTAAATATTTAAGAGAGTCCACTGTCCGGATGGTTCTATTATAAATTTTAAAAATAGGAGATTGTTTAAAAAATGACAACACCCTTTTTTGCCGAATTTTATTTTGGTTACCCCCGAAAACGACAGCAAGTGTCTTCTCACAGGCAACCTGTAAATTAATAGTAGCTAGTTGATCACATAAAAAAAAAAATTAATGTAAAATTAACTTTATTTTCAAGGTTTTGACGGGAGTCGTCAACTATAATCAGAGATAAATCATCTGCGTAGGCTTGAAGGTACCTTTGATCATTATTTAAAACTAAAATATCATTAAAATATAGGTTTCAGATGTGAGGCGTCAGGACTGAGCCCTGAGGACAGCCCTGACAAACCCCATCTGTGACAATTTCAGACCCAATAACATATGCACAGACCTATTAAATAAATAGCTGAAAATAAATTTGCGAAAGCAGAGAGGGATATTATATTTATGAAAAAGAGAAAAAAGGACATCCCAGTCGAGGCTATCAACTGCCGCCCTGATGTCAATAGACACAAAAGCGACATGATTCTCCTCCCAGGAACCCTTAATTTTATTAATAAGATGGTTAACAGCCACTTCGCACTTCGACAGCTCACGAAAATCAAACTGGTGAGGATGAATTAAATTGCTATTAGACATAAAAATTAAACTGTTTAATAAAAAGCCTCTCAATAAGTTTACCCAAAGTGGGCAACAAACAGATTGGACGGAAAGATCTGTAATGTTTTCCTTCCCGCGAGCTTAATTCCCATGAGAAAAAAAGTGCCGGTCCTTTTGATACTGGCGATAAACAGCAGGAGAGTTGCACCTGGACATCGTTAACGAGACGGGCGCAAGAAGACGGACTTCACACAGAGGGCCGCCACAATGTCGATGAATAAATCACTGTCATCGCGGACATTAGCGGTACCTTTTTGGTGATTCCTGAATAGGCCGGTGGTGACGAAACTCAAGGAGCTTCCCAGAATAAGAGGTAGACCACTCGGAAGGTGAGTTATTGGTCAACGAGAGTACGATTATCCAGTGAAGGGAAGATAGGAGGGGCTTCACCACTTCATCCACCCCTGAAGGAGTGAATAAAAACGGAGGGACGGGGAGAAAAGAAGGAGATTGGAATTTGAATTTTTTGGGGAGTCTCGAACTAGTTTCAGGCTCCGGAGTACCGTAGAAAGCGGTTTGATCAGCGGATTGAAAGTCCCGACTGAAGTCGGACTTTGGTCGACAACCCCGAGGAATCGGTTTCCCCGGACTCTCAGCTCATGAACTGGCGGGCACTCTTGGTAGTCTCGTAGGTTGGTATCACGTGGATAGGTGGAAGTTATCCATCCGGATTACTAGTCTTCCTGGACGAATTTTCTCATGGAACTTTGACGTTTAGAACTATGATTTGTTTGTTCCTTTGTAAATAGTCATATTTAATCAAGACTTCTCTGCGAGAAGTGTCTATTAATTATTGCTGTAGTGAATAAAAGTACTTAGGCCAACCTAAGCTTGAATTATTTGGTCACACTTAGGCCAAGACATTACAGATCCAACAGAAAGCCTGTCTCTTCCTGGCTTATGCAGGAAGAAAACATTGGCATTTCTTAAATTTAAAGGAAAATGAGAAAAATCGAAACATAAATTAATAATTTTACAAAAGAAATTTTTGTCAAATTTAAAGATTTCAATCCAGGTTTTATAATCTAAACGATCCAGGCCGGGGGCCTTACCACCTCTAAGACTTTTAAAAAGATCTTCTAAATCATTAATCGAAATATTTTTAAGAGGATGCAATGGGAACTTTAAATTATTAAATGAAGCTGAATTTTTTGCGGGAAAAAAGTGATTTAACATATACGTAATAGTATCATTTATTGTAGGATTATTTACATTTGGAACTTCAACAGAAAAATTAAAATTTCTTTTAAATTTGTTAAATGCTGCTTTAAAAGTTTGACCATATTTAAGGGAGTAATTGGAACAAAAATTTTCCCAAGCTTTTCTTTTGGTTAAATTTATTATTTTTTTAAGTTCAGAACGTTCTTTTCGGTAGATAATGCCGTCGGCCCGGACCGCCTCCTCAGGTGCCCCATTCTTTTTTAAAGTTGAAAATTTACGGTATAAGGCGGTAACTCTGTTACGCTTAACACGTAAAGAGTCATTCCAGAAAGAAAAGATTTATTATTTCGTAAAGGTTTTTTCTTAAATGCTCCAAAGGCAGCATCACAGACACATTTTAAAAATACATCATAGAAACGGTCATCATCCTCCGAAGAGGAGACCGAATTAAATAAACTATTTAAATAAACATAATTTTTATGAAAAATATTAAGGAATTTTTTAATAGAATACTTTGATTTAAAAACAAAATCCTGAGAAATATGAAAATCACCCGCGAGCCGAACACAAACATACTTGTGATCGCTGAGGGTCTCTAAATTTAAAACTTCCACTTATCTAAGAAATCCTGGTGGGTAGAAGAAATTAAAGTAAAGTCAGGAAAACCCTCACTAGTACTGGAAACAAATGCGGAAATAAGATTCGTACGATTGCAAATAGAAAAATTATTGGAAGAAATAAAATCTGAAATCAATTGCCCACGGTGATCCTCAAAGTCATAGTCCCAAATTTGGGACCTGGCATTGAAGTCACCGACAAGCAGGTCAAAAGAACCATTTAAGCCAAGATGAGATATTTCGGTTATTAAACTATCAATATTATCGCGCGGTTGAAAGTAAACATAAGTTAAAAATAAATTATAGTTGGCAAAATGACCAATTATAGAAACAGAATTTAAAGTATTATTTTTCACTGAATCATTTAATTTTGAATTTAAACAATAAACAACGCAATTAAAGCGAATTAAAGAAAACATAGAAAAACCTAGGGCATCGCACAGGAGGGTATCATTAACAATGGCTCAACAATGCTGACCCCAAAGTTTGAACACTTCAGAGGTTGTTGAATGAAACTCTACAGCCGTCGATAGCTCAGTTGGCAGAGCGATGGACGGTAGGTGGCAAGACACAGACATCCATAGGTCGGTGGTTCGACTACGGCCTCGCGGATCATCTTTTATGTAAAAGAAACTTCAAACTTTGAAATTTAAAAGGAAACAGGGGGACTGAATTTTTATTATACACGCCGATAACTTTGATTAAAATTCTGACCCCGATGTTTGAACACTTCAGAGGTTGTTGAATGAAACTCTGCAGCCGTCGATAGCTCAGTTAGCAGAGCGGTCGACAGTAGTTGGAAAGAGACAGAAATCCATAGGTCGCTGGTTCGACTCCGGCTCGACGGATCATCTTTTATGTATAAGAAACTTCAAACTTTGAAATTTAAAAGGAAACCGGGGGACCGAATTTTTATTATACACGCCGATAACTTTGATTGCATTCCGACCCCGATGTTTGAACACTTCAGAGGTTGTTGAAGGAATCTCTGCGGCCGTCGATAGCTCAGTTGGCAGAGCGGTGGACTGTAGGTGGAAAGAGACAGACATCCATAGGTCGCTGGTTCGACTACGGCTCGACGGATCATCTTTTATGTAAACAAAACTTCAAACTTTTAATTTTCAAAGGAAACATGGGGAGTGTATTTTTATCATACACGCCGAACACTTTAATTGCGTGCTGACCACGATGTTTGAACACTTCAGAGGTTGTTGAAGGAAACTCTGCGGCCGTCGATAGCTCAGTTGGCAGAGCGTTGGACAGTAGGTGTGTTGTATAGAGTTTTCATGGATTGGGAATTTATCAAAATTAATTAAACTCTGATATAATTATTGTATTCTGGTTGTTTAAATTTTTTAAACTTTTTATAGTATTCAAATGCTTTAAAAAAATCGAAATTAAAGGCGAAAACAAATATAAGATAAAGTCCTTTTCTTTTCTCAACTTCAAGATGGAAGTCGTCTGGAATGGGTCATTCACCCTTCCACTGTGGGTGTTGTCCCCCCCCCCCGAGAGGGCATCAATGGGAAGGCTTGCTAATTTGCGTAGAGGGACCCCTTTGGGGTCTGTTTTCTGGAATGTGTTTGTCGTTTGTTTTTAAGGTTGCAGTATTAATTGCAAGGGACGACAGATAGATTGGCGAAATTTTGGTTTTTTGAGCCGCCAAAGAGGTGTTTTTTGAGGACTGGGAGCTTGGGTGGAAGGCAGAGAGGATTTGGCATTGAAAAAGGAAGGATGCAATAAAGCGGAGGGGACGATAACATTTTTTTTCTTGGGCTTGGGCCCGGGGTGTCTGAAGAAAGTGGCGTGCGGGTCCGGGATGAGAAAACCCGTGTGGACATGGAAATTAATTATCTGAGAGCCGCACGGAGCATGAAGTGAAGGTCGTAAAATCTGATTTGGGGCATCTCCTTCATCACTGAGTTTTCGGAGTAAATGGCGACATACAGTATTCCCTGTCGGAGTTGTGGCAAATGTCGACGATCATCACCGATCAACCCGTCGAGAAAGTGTGAGAGTGATATTTTTCATGCGTCAGTTCCATCACGGATTGTGTCTCGTAAAATTTCATATTTTTTAACCCGGACAATATCATGATGAGCCTTGTGCTACATGAATGACAAAAAATTCACATTTTTTTTAAAATCCGGACAATATCTTGATGAGGCTGGTGATATAAGAAAAGACTAAAAATTAAAATTTTTTACAAATCCGGACTATATCCTGATGAGGCTGATGCTACATGAAGTGACCTGCTGCGAAACTTTTATTTTTTGTTATCATTCGTATTCACTGCGTGAACAATCAGCGCAACAGCTGTGTTTGTGTTCCTGGATGCTACACGAGATGCTGCTGATACAGATAGGTTTTGGTTTGCTATTTTAAATATTTGAATTAAGTTTTAATCAGATGCAAAAGATTCTTATTTTAGTGAGCAGGATTATTCTATTGTCATGCATGTATAGATAAATTAAAATTGATAAGATTCTGCAAAAGGCTGACTAACATTAAAATTCCTAGTAAGTAATACGTTCTATTTATTTTAATCGATATATGTGAATTCATGATGCAAAAGGAAATTAAACTAGGGATGAAGTTTGAAAATGAAGGATTTATTTTCAGATGTATTAAATTGAAATTTTATTTTTAAATAAGGTAAATATGTTTCTATAACACGAGTTTTGATAAAGTTAGTTGGCAATGTAATGCATCATATATATATCGTCCTTACATTTAGCAGTATTGTACTGTTAAAAAAATGGTAAATAAGGATTCATGTCAATTGAAATTAAGAAGTTAATTTATTATTAGCACATGCTATCAACATTTATTTCTAAAAGCAAGACATGATTTTATCGATATTTGTCAGAAGATTTTGTTTTTATTTGTCAGTTTATGGATCAGTATGATATTTTTAAAACAGTGTGTTTTATTTGGAAGAAACAATGTTCATTCATAATAGTCATGTTTGTTAATTAGTGAAAAGAAAACTGGTATAATAATAGGGCGAGTTGGTAAAGTATCAACAAGGGTATGAATCAAAATATAGATTAAGTTAGGTAAGGATTAAAATTAATAATTAAACTGTTAGTGGCCACTATCTAAAAATTTACTTTATATGAGCTTGATATTAATGAGATAAAATTAAAGTGAATTGATATTAATGAGATAAAATTAAATTGAATCAATGCTGAGGATGCAGTAAAGATAATTAAATTTTGAGTGTGGATGAGGTGTTGAATTAAAATTCTCTTATATGATCTGGGTCGACCCTAAATTATTATTATGTTTGTGTGCTTGAATATATTTTTTTCATTATGATCCTTATTTTATGTGCTCCATCATTATTCATGTGCAGTAATAATTCTGATTTTTCAATCAAGAAGATTAGAATATATGAAGTATGTTGTAAAATGGTGGAGTTATTTTTTTTATATAAATAAATGTCGTTAGTTTAAAGTAATTTCGTCTCTGATTCATTTGCGACCCCTATGACAGTGACGGAGGTAACTATTTGGTGTAACCAGGGTTAGCTTTATAAAATATAACATCTAAAATTTTTATATAAAAAAGACACAACGGAAACTAAAGATCTTTATGAATCGTTTTGTTGTTGAATTTGGTGATTATTTTAATAATAAATTAAGAACTAAAATTAAATTGAAGTTATGCTAAATTGTGACTAGAAATGAACTAAATATTTATATGATCAAATGCTAATATACTTGCCTTGCACATGTAAATATGATTTAAGATCTAAGATGCTATGAAACTAAATGTAAGTGAATTGAGTAATTGGAGTATTGTTTTTTTTTTTTGAGTTATCTAGATACTGAGAGTAAGAAGGTATAATTAGTAGAAAATTAAAAAGTTTATTGTTTTGTATTAATTTAAAAGTTCATAAATTTAACTTCTAATAATAATAATATCATATAAAAGACTAGTTAAATTAAATTAAAAATCTTTACGACAGGTGGAAAGAGACAGACATCCATAGGTCGCTGGTTCGTCTCCGGCTCGACGGATCATCTTTTATGTAAACAAAACTTCAAACTTTTAATTTTCAAAGGAAACATGGGGAGTGTATTTTTATCATACACGCCGAACACTTTAATTGCGTGCTGACCCCGATGTTTGCACACTTCAGAGGTAGTTGAAGGAATCTCTGCAGCCCTCGTTAGCTCAGTTGGCAGAGCGGTGGACTGTAGGTTTGAAGAGTCAGACATCCATAGGTCGCGGGTTCGACTCCGTCTTGACGGATTATATTTTATATAATCAAAAGTTCAATCTTCGATTTTACTAAAGATCAGTCGTGTAGTGGGCCTGTTGCATGTCAAATCATACGTATGGGGCCAAACGTCATCCCGCTGGTGTGGTGCGGATGCTTGGAGACGGGGTGCCAGCTCAGGTGTTGTCCTTGTAATCTGCCCACGGTTCAAAATGACGAGGTCCGTCCCAAAATATCCTCGTTTTACTTCAAAAACAGCACAATAATTAAAATAAACCAATGAACTAAACTCAAAGTAACAGAACTTTTGATGGTGTGAATTTAAGTTTAGTTTATTATATTATATTAGTTTATTTATATTAACGACCCGTTTTGAAGCAACAGGAGGATTACTTTTAGATGGACCTACTAATTTTAAAACGCGGTCGGATGACGAGGACGACACCTGAGCTGGCACCCCTTATCCAAACTTCCGTACCCTACGACCGGGAAAACGATTTAATTGTGTGAAAGACTCATTCTATAAAATGAATGAAACTGAGTGGAATTTGAAAATTTTATTGACTGATGCCAGCAGTTTAATAACGAATAGCTTCAGAGATGTTCCTGACCTTCCCTTCCGACGATTGACGTGCTATTTTCATGTAGTAAAAAATATTAATGGCAAACTACTTGGAATTACAGACAAAAATGAAAAAAAGATATTGAATGTCTTTCATTTATGCTCCGATGACGATACCTTTGACAGAATTTGTGTATTATTTTTAAAGAAATGAGAGGGAAAAAATGTGAAGTTCGCAATACTCATAAAATACTTTAAATCGGATAGCTTACCAGAAATATTTATCGATATATAGGTACTAGGAATTATTTATGCTTCAGTTCGCAAGCAACTATAGTTCCGTGGAATCCGAGATACCGAAAGCGGAAAGCATGAGTAGAAGAAACTATTTGCACGATGAAATGTGTTGGAGGACTGTCGGTATGTTTCAATCTGGTGCAAGACAATCTGCTGTTACCAGAGAGCTGAATGTACTTCGTAGTGTCATCCATAGGCTGTGAAACCATTACCAAAGGGGTCAAAACGTCAGTAGAATACTTGGGTCTGGACGCCGGAGAATCGCCACTACGGCAGACGATCGCTACCTGTTGCAATGTGCCAGACGCCGGAGGACACAGCGCGACAGCTGGTGTCGCAGCTCTCTGCTACTGCAGGAAGGTCGATGTCCCGTCAAACTGTGTCGCGCAGACTGCATAGAGGAGGACTGTTCACACGACGATCTGTTTGTGTGCCTTTGTCTCCAGAGCGCGGTTGCATTGGGCCCATGAACATCGCAGTTGGACACCAGAGCAGTGGGGCCACGTACTCTTTATGGATGAGTCT